CTCAAAAGTTTTTGCAATCCAAAGCCAATCCAATTTTCATTGCAGCACTTTTTTTCCACCAGAGACCCAACACAGCCTGAACTGTTTATCACGCTATCTTGCCTGCTTTCCCACTTTTTGCTGCCACACACGAATGAAAAAGAAACCCCCTCTTCATTTATAGCAGAATCAAAAATGCTCTAAAGCTTTTAGCTTTCAAAGCAGGTAAGTTTGCCTCAGGTGAACCATGAAGTTCTCTCTCCTCCAAAACAGGCTAAAATGTCAAACTGTTTTTCCTTTACTTTTCCCTTTTTTCTGCTACAAGGAATCACAGACTTTTCATCCTACCGTAAAAAACAAATGCCAGAATTAAAGCACATCAAGTAAGCACTCTTTCAAAAATCTTCTAAAATTCAAGGAAGGAAGAAATATAATCATCTAAAAAAGAAAGAGAAGCAGCATTAAAAATCTGACTTCCTGGGTTCACTATTTCTCTAGGTATTTTCCTTGCTTGTTTGATCGGATCTTTCCTTCTTGATGCTTGTCTACAGCACAGATTCATAGTTCCAGACACAACATTTGCAGCTGTACAAGAAGGAAACATATGAAGTATTCCAATCGTTTTATTTGAATAACATTTATGAGCTCAATTAATTAGTATTTATACCACACTAAGTGAAAAGAGGAAAAAAGGAGAGGGAGAAAGAATATGCAAGTTTGATGACCTGCTTAACTCAAGAAGGATGACGAGGTTTGCTCAGTTCAATGCCCAGACTTGTCCCATAGTTCCTCAACTTATTTACTTCCAGTCATCATTACTCAACATATGGTCACGATTTATTAGTCCATTCACAACCTATTGAGCCCAAAGCAAAATGTGCCAAAGACCATACATTATTCCTCTGCAATAACAAAATCCGTTTCCTCTACCCTCTGTATTCTTCTGTTTCCCTCGCAGCTATTGATTTAGATTGTGGAGGTATTTATTAGGCTTTTTCTGTGCAGAGGGTGTTTTTTCTTCCTCTTCTTGCAAACTTTTTTCACCAGTGAAGACCATGTGGAAAGTTGAACATTACTGGCAGGTGTCTTTCCATGGGTTACTGATTCCTGTGCTGTAAAGGTGCTCCATCTGGTTCTCAAATTAATTTTCATCAATTGCAAAGCTCTCAGGAATATGCAAGAGTAAGTCTATGTGATGACAAAAACATGTGCGTTTTCATGTATATGCAGTGCACGCACTAGCTCACTTAATCTGGTACTCAGAGCTGCATCTGCCTTTTCAGTTTAGCTGTGGTAATCCTGTAAGGCGCCCATCATTCAAAGCTTGAAATCCCTGGATTCTTCCAACTCTGCAAGACAAAGCACACACACATACAAAAAAAGAAAAAAAGTTAATAAAATAAGCCACAAAATGACTTGAAAGATACAAGGACTATTGTTACAGTAATCAAAGCATTATGATTAAGGATTTTATACTGGACTCCTATAAAATATCTGTATCATATAGATACAGGCAGTATTCAGACACACACACATACGTATTTGATACACACACAAATACAAACGACAAAATTTTCTTTTTAACTTCCAAAGTTCCCAAAACTTTTCACAATTAACATGTATAACTCATGAAATATATCCAGGAAGGACACATTGCGGGGGGAGAGGGAAAGGAAGTTTCTTTTGGCCACAGTCACTGGGGCAAACTCTTAAAGATTCCACAACTTCGGAGTGAGGGCAGGGAAGGGAGGTCTCAGTGAGAGAGCAGACACAGTTAGACCCCAAGGCACACAAACAGAATCACAGAATGGCTGAGGTTGGAAGGGGCCTCTGGACATTATCTGGTCCAACCACCCTGCTGAAGCAGGGTCACCTAGAGCCAGTTGCCCAGGATTGTATCCAGGCAGCTTCTGAATATCTCCAAGGATGGAGACTCCACAACCTCCCTGGGCAACCTGTACCAGTGCTCGGTCACCCTCACAGTAAAGAAGTCTTTCCTGATGTTCAGAGGGAACCTCCTGTGTTTCAGTTTATGCCCACTGCCTCTGGTCTGCTCACATACAAGAGCAGTCCCCAGGGAGCACGAGCGACCCGGAGTGCGGCGAACAGGACGGGCAAACAGGACGTGGTGCAGCAGAAGGGCGTGGCGCGGCAGTTCACGCAGGCAGGGTGTGCAGGGAAGGCAAGCGGGCAAGGTGCAGTCCCCCTCCTGGCTCTAGATGCCAACTCAACTAGTAGTCGTCGCCTTCCCAGAAAACGACCAGCTATGGTTTCCACTCGGCTGAAAGCCGTCGCCAGAAGGAATGTGGCGACCCAGACAGAGGCCTCAAACAAGCACCCAGCTGCCGGGAGTGCCTGAGCCTGTCACTTGTACCAGAGGGCAGCAGAGACAACACCTCTGTGCGGTGTGGCCAGGTGGATGATCTGCTCAGCCTAGTGGCAGAGCTGAAGGAGGAAGCGGAAAGATTAAGGAGTATCCGGGAGTGTGAGAGGGAGATAGATTGGTGGAGCCACACCCTACCATCCCTGAAGCAAAGGCAGCAGATGGAGGCTCCACGAGAAGCAGAGGATCCCCTGCCCTCTTGCCACCAGGCAGAAGGAGGGGATTTAAGTGATGGGGGGGGAATGGAAACAGGTCCCTGCTTGGGGTGCCAGGCGAACCCCCGCCCGGCCTCCCTCACCTCCCCAGTTGCCCTTTCAGTACAGATATGGGGCCCTGGGACTTGAGGGCCAGGCAAATGAGGATGTAGATGAAGGTCCATCCAGGGGGTTGCCTAGGGTGAGGCAGTTAGCCCCATGCATTAGGACTGCCTCTGCTAAGAAAAAAAGGGAGTAATTGTCGTAGGCGATTCCCTTCTGAGGGGAACAGAGGGCCCAATATGCCAACCAGACCCATCCCACAGGGAAGTCTGCTGCCTCCCTGGGGCCCGGGTCAGAGACATTACTAGGAAACTCCCTGGTCTGGTATGGCCTTCTGATTGCTACCTGCTATTGGTTATACAGGCTGGCAGTGATGAGGCTGCAGAGAGAAGTTCAGAAGCCATCAAAAGGGACTTCAGGGCACTGGGGCGACTGGTTGAAGGATCAGGAGCACAGGTAGTGTTTTCCTCAATCCCTACAGTGGCAGGGAAGAATACTGAAAGGAACAGGAAAACACACCTGGTCAATACATGGCTCAGGGGCTGGTGCCATCGGTGGAATTTTGGCTTGTTTGATCCTGAGGAGGCTTACACGGCACCGGGCCTGCTGGCGACAGATGGAGTTCAGCTGTCTCACCGGGGGAAAAGGATTCTTGCTCATGAATTGGCGGGGCTCATCGAGAGGGCTTTAAACTAGGTTTGAAGGGGGAAGGGGGTAAAACCAGGCTCACTAGAGATGAGCCTAGGGGTAGCATGCCGATGCTGGGGGTGAAATCGATAGCCCAGCTCAAGTGCATCTACACCAATGCACACAGCATAGGTGGCAAACAGGAGGAGCTGGAAGCCATTGTGCAGCGGGATAGCTATGACTTAGTCGCCATCACAGAAACACGGTGGTGTGACTCTCATGATTGGAGTGCTGCAATGGATGGCTATAAACTCTTCAGAAGGGACAGGCAAGGAAGGAGAGGCGGTGGGGTGGCTCTGTATGTTAGAGAGTGTTTTGATAGTCTGGAGTTCAACGACTGTGATGATGATACAGTTGAGTGTTTATGGGTAAGGATGAGGGGGAAGGCCAAAGAGGCAGATATCCTGCTGGGAGTCTGCTATAGACCACCCAACCAGGATGAAGAGGTGGATGAAGAAATCTACAAGTGGCTGGCAGAAGTCTCACAATCGGTAGCCCTTGTTTTCGTGGGGGACTTAGACTTAGAGATGTCTGCTGGAAACACAACACGGCAAAGAGGAAAGAGAAAACGAAATTCTTAAAAATTCACTAAAAATTATGGGGTGGCCCTTGCACCACGCTCGCCGAAATCCCGAAAAAGGGAAAAAACAAAAAATACCCCCCC